ATATTCTTATGCATTATTACAAGAAATAATACATCATCCTGATCATGTTGCATTGATTGCAATCATAAAACATGTATCAACTTTGGATCCTACAAGATCAATTCAATTACAAATACAACTCATAAACATACCTGGATCAAATGAATCTGAATCAAATGGTGTAAACACATGTGAGGCATTGCACTCTTATATTCATTTGGCTGTTGGTAAGGGTTGTATTCACGGATACCATGAATACCGTTAAGGGGTTACACACTATTACTATTAAAACCAGGGCTGGCAGTGTAAAGGGGTTAAAAACCTAATTTAGTAACAATCATCTTGACTTAACATATGACTAAATAGTTTAGTCAGTTTAGCCAAGTGCTCATTTGAGTTACGCAGCCAGCCCTGATTAAAACAGCAAAAAATCCCTTAACTTGATTTTAATGGTGTGTGACCCTGTATGGCTCCTTACAGTATCCATGAATACAAACCCTAGCCGTTGGTCCTTACTTTGAAGCTTATGTTAATGCAAAAGGGATTAATGTTATTTTGCAAGTAGCACTATCAAAAAATTGAAAGAGAGTCTTGGTAAATGAGACTTATTATAAATAATAATTAATTTCTCTTTACTAATTTATAAACTTCACAAATTTATAAGGTTTATAATAACATTACTAATTACTATTAAAAGACATACATTATGAAAACCAAAAATCAATCTTAATATTAAAAAAAGTCAGCCTTCATCACAATCAAATATCATATCAAGAGAGTCAAAACCACTTCCTGTTAATGGACAAAATATTGGATTTTGTAAAGGGTTTAGGGTGTGAATTATGGAAATAAATAATTATCATTATTATTATTTGTAATAATTAATTTTAGGGTGATGATAGTCTTAAATTACTGGACTTTCCATCATGTTTAAATTACACCAACATAGTCCTTACAATCAAAATATTTTAGCATATAAATATTATTTTAGCAAATCATTATTATCATTATTATTAATATTATGTTGCAAAAAAAAAAATTTAAAATTTAAAAATTCCTCAATGTTTATTTTTTTATCATGAAATTCATGAAATGGAAGTTTTATATTATTTAAAATCTTATCAATTGTCCAACAACAATGAAATATCTACTCAATATTGAATTACTAGGTTGATTTTCATCAATCTTAAATAACACTTTTATCTGTTTCAATCAAATATTCTTCATAGTAAAATTCATGTTATGTACACTCACTCTACCATTAATATTAAAATTTTTTCAAAATAATGTAGGTTCCTAATATATTTGTCATGATGAGTAGTATGCAATACATATTTCTTTATGAGTGATGACAAATAATAATTGAATTCAATATATTTTTGTTTCAAGTATACAATTTTGCATTTGGTATTAATCAATTAAAAAAGAGAACATGATCATTAATTGTGATCTTTATTATTATTATCTGATCAATGTTGTCAGTGGACACAGACACAGACTGTCTGGTCCTGGACCATCCATGTCCATGTCTACCACTTTAAATGTCCTGGACAAAAATACAAATTTTTGTATATTTAATGAGTTTATCCTCTGTAAAGACTAGTGCCGTAAATTATGATGATGGTAGTAATTGTATTTACGGCATATAAAAAGTGGTTGCAATTACCTTTGCAACCACTTTTGCAACCATACTTTTTCCTTTTTTTGGATTACGGCACTAGTCTTTAATTCCAAGCAGATTAAATCATTGCCAGAAAAATTTATTTCTGAAGAAGGTGGTATTGGTGATTGTGGAGGAGATGACTGTGTTGATATTGGCTGTGGAACCTATATATTTTGAAATATTATATTTATGTATAAATAGTAAAGATCAAATTTCTGTGATACTCACCTTTTGATTTCTATGATGTCTTTTCACTAAGGACCCAATGTTATAATTTTTACAATTTTGTTGACAAAGATTAAAATCCCAGACAGATCTAATTCTTTTTCTACAGGGGAATCCTCAGCATTTATGTTTTGATTAGATGTTTGTTGACTAATTTGACCTGATGTTTGTTGACTGGTAATCATTCTATCATCCTCATCACCATTAGTCATCCCATTACCATTATAGTCATCATTACCATCATGATTGGTGAACTGCTACTATCTTTGTTGAAATCTTTACCAAAATTATTAAAATCACTACCAGAATTTTCTTCTGAGATCAGATCAAAAACAAACCTAAAAAATGAAATTATGTACCTTGAGATAGGAACAGTCCTTCACCTATCACTGCTTCAGAATTAATTGGTTTGATCTTTCAAAAGATAAAATATGAGTTGACAAAAAATAAATGGATTCATAACAATAAATTTGTTGGAAACTTACCATATTGTGATCAGATCTTAAATATTTATGAAAAATATTTATTAAATGATCTAAACTACTTTCTGCTAACCCAACAATTTCTTCCTCATTTTTTAACAGCTCTGCAACTGTTGTTGATGGTAAAGTTCGAAGCATAACAAGCTTTTCCTCGAAAAGCTGTTGAGTTAAAACAAAAAAAAAATTCAAATTCAGTAAAATGATGAGCTGCAATGATTGCAATAACCACCAGTCTTTGTTATATTCTTTTCTTCTTTTTATGGTTGTAGATTTCGACATCTTTATAAAAAAAAGAAGTTTGTGATTAGATCGATGCATACACATTAATTATTGTTTTTTTTTAGGTAGGACAGACGCGAATTGGTTTTTTTTTTTTTTGGAAAAACAATTTATTTTGACAGAGTCCAACATGAGTGTTGTTGTTTGATTTGTTTGGTTTGGTTTGGATCTCCTAAGGAATACGTGTTAATAACTAACCAGAGGTACTTTTTTTATTTGTATTGATATGTATGAGGTGTCTTTTATTTTAGTTTATAAATATTTTAATTGGAATCAAAACGTGGAGCAGATCTTGCTGGGTAATTACAAAATTTTCATTGATAATATTTTGCTTTGTGTAATCGTAATAATAATACTATTATTAATATATAATTACAAGATGTCAAGGCAGCACTGACTGTTGAAAAAGAAACAATTCGAAATGCAATGTTTGATTATCGGAAAATAGCAGGTGTTGAAGCACGCATGCTACCTTGAACACATTACAGTAATTCTCATCTTCTTTGTGTACATAAGGCTAATCTGACTTGCCTCCCCCGATGATACAATGTTGCAACTAAATTCCAGGGGGGGTCGCTCTGCTATGGAGTTTACCAAAACTGCATCAATTGTCAATGATGCTTTCACTAATTTTCCCTTACAGCACCAGACCAGAGAAGGCTGCTGGCACGTTAGCCGAAAAGTTACCTGCAATGATCCTACTCTAGGGTAAGGATGGCTCTGTGACCAAGTCGCAACTCTGCAGCATTTTGAAGAGTTGTGATATTAGGTGTGCATAAACATCTAGATCAATCAAAGCAATGAGAATCTGCGGCTTGTTTTAAGCAACAGGAGGTTACAATTCAGAGCAGGGTTGGTGGCTCTGAAATTGCATTTGTTAAGGGTAGGGGGAATCACGTGTCAATTTATATGTAGATCGGCGGCTCAAAAATTTGAATTATAGAAGTTGC